CGTAGCCTCTTAATTTTTTACATTAGACACAAGACCTGTGATGGCACATTAAATCGTGAATATGAAGTAAAGGATTTTGGAGTTGTCTTTTAGTCTAATTTGAAGTTTAATAACCATTTCTTACACATAACTAAAAAAACAAAAGCTTTGAGTTTTTAAATCATAAATACAAAAAAAAATTAGAATTACCACCAAAATCAGATTATATAATGCCTTACTAAGACCCCATCTTGAGTATGTTTCACAAATATGGATGCCCTTGAAAGCCACACATATTGATCATAGTGAAAAAGCACAAAAAATATTTTTACCATACCCTTATGCCATAAAAAATACTTGTACCCTTATAAGATCACATATAACACTATGCTCGATAGTTTTAAGATTAAATCTCTTTTATAAAGAAGAAAGCAACAGGCTGTGATATATTTTGTACTCTATTTTAAATAATGATAAGTACAAAAATTGTGATTTGATTGACTATATAAATTTTAATGTGGCAAAGATTAATCTAAGAATCCCAAGTAACAAAAAATTATTTAGTTTAGATCCAAGTAGTATATCTCCTTTTAACAAGATAATGGCTATTACCAATGAGTTTTTTAGCGAGGTCCAAATAGATATCTTTAATGTTAGCCTAAGAAAGTTGAGGACTGTACTAAATTAAGTTTACTAGATATAAAGGTTTGTTTTGTTTTTAAAGTTCTTGTTACTTAACTCTACATGTAACTACTATTAATTTTTTATAGTATCCAATAAATAAATTATACCTTATGGCTGCTTTCAAACAATTCTGTGTGTAGTCACTCAGTTTAAAGTTAATTTTAAATTAATGAGTTTAATAAGAATGTAAAATAGTGCGATATGTATAGTGTCTATGAATTTGCTGTGTGTAGTAAATGGCCAATAAACATAACTTTAATATTTTTATTACAAGTTTTTTAAATAAATTCATAATAAAAAGTAACGATTTTAGTCTGCCATACTTGAACTCATTCACTAAAACAAGTCACTGAGTATATATTTGTAAAAAAACTACACTAAATATGTCTCCATTATAAATTTTTATTTTTAAAACTACATACTTTCCTATAGATTTTGCAGTAAGTACCTAAATAACGTATAGAATAAATTTCTACAACATAGAAAAGTTTTAGATTAGAGTAATTCTTAAGAAATAAAGCAAAACCTCTATTTTATTACTCTAACCTTATGTGTTATATATTTTCCTTTACAAGCTAACGTTATATTTTGAACTAAAAGTAATTAAACTTTTCACTAAAAAGTAATATTTCACATATATAAAAAAATTTTAAAACGGTTCTGCCTTCTCACATTTGCGAAGACTGCCCTGATATCTAATCTATTTTCTTAAGTAATTAAGTTGTTCAACCGTTGTCTATAAAGGTATCTCACATCTCGCTCATACACACAAATTTGAAAAGCAGCAGAACAAAAATTCAACTAACCAGGTATACCAAGTCCATGTAAAGAAAACTTTTCATATCCCGAAAACGTCAAGTGTCAACTAAAATTTCTACTTTTAAAGATCAAACGTGCCGCCTCAGAGTGCCAATACTGATTGGTATATATACTGGGCTATTACTCGAAAAGATAAACCCACGCGCATGCGATCAGCCCATCTCTCTCGCACGCCTGACGTCACTGGGAGACTACCCGACTCGGCAACAGCCAAGTTCTATACGGCGAAAAGCGGTTTTGCGTGTATTACTAATTATTTAATTTTGTTTTATTGGTTTGTTGGGTTTTGGAAGTAAACGTGCGTAAAGCTTTTTATATGTTATATATAAAAACATTGTTTTAAACTTTACTATGGTATACTGTGCAGTGGTGGGTTGTTCAAACAATAACAACCAAAAACATACTGCTGCAAATTGAATCAATACTTCAAAATTTCTATAGATGTTTAACTTTTAAGACGATTTATTACTTGTTTATCCAAACATTTTTAATTGTTACCCCTCCTTTTTTACATTCATCCGTAATTTTTATAAAAATATTAAATTAATTATAAAATGAAAATGTCTATACTTTAAAAGCTCTAAAATAAGATTTAACTCGAAATTTTTTTCAAATATTTTGAATTTTTACCCCCTCCCCTTTTTACCCCTACCTGTAATTTTTTTATTAAATCACTAAACGAATTTTAACATTAAAATAGTACGAGAAAACTCGATTTTTTAAATATTTTAAATTTTTACCCCTCCCCTTTTTACTCTTTTTCTAATTATCAAAATATTAAATGGATAATAAAATCAAAATATTCATAGCCAAAAACCTATATAACGACATATCACTCGATTTTTTACGAAAAATTGCAATTTTTTATCATTTTCCCCGACATTTCACCCCCTTCCTCTTAACCAATTTTACTCAAAAATATTCTAATCCGACCCTTAATGGAATAACACCTATCTATAGCGCAATTCCTTTAAAAGTTATGGTGAATACCGATAGACAGAAATTTTCTTTTTTGCTCATAATACTTTTTTACACGTTTTGAGACATTTTAAGATGATTAGGCAAGCCAAAAAATATTTTATTTAATAATATATCAATATTATGAAAATAATATATCGATATTATAATAAATAAACATAAAATATTGATTAAAACCGCTCTAGCGTAATGCTTTTCCATGCCCACGAGCTGGATTGTTGTCATCGGGTGATGTCATGCGCAAACGTGGTCGAAATTGGATCGTCAAGTGGGTTTATCTTCTCGAGTAATAGTATCATGGGGATGAAATGAAGTCTATTGATTCTAAAAAATATTTGATTAAAAATAGAGGTTTAAAAGGGAATTTGTTTAACTGTGCAGAGTTTCATATAGAATGCCAAATATTATATATCTTCATTCTACTTTGTAATTACAATTTTTTTCCTGCTCTATAACTAGGCATTTAGCCTGTAGAGCAGTGTATTTAATAAATAAAAATAAAATAAAATAAATATCTCTAATTACCAAGTTTTACACCTCATAGTCCAAAAACTGATCGTAGTAAGTTCATATAACTTTTAAACTTTATTAGCAAACTCACAATAAAGAAAATAAAAAAATATTTATACACACAGGGTTGACCAAAAATAGTGACAATGTAGCATATTTCGTCAGTTTTTGCCATTGGTTCCAATTGGTCATTAAAATATTTTTATCGGGAATCTTTTTTAATAATAAAAATAATTTTATTTAAAAGTTTCGACTTTCTTCCAGAACACTATTTAAAAAAAATATTAGTCACTTATAACAGCCTTTGTGAGAAAATAAATCCGCTTTGAAGTCAAATTAACTTAAAAAAGACATAGTGTTTGATATGATTAACTACAAAAAGTTTTTTTTCTACATTAGCTTATCTACGCACATATTACAAAACGAAAAAGTATGCTATTGTCTTCAACTGAACGAATATATTCATATTCATATTCATTCTAGGTAGTAAGAACACTGCAAAAAAATTAAATCCACCAATCACAGTTCATATTTTGATCAACCGACTGCTATTATTTTTAAAATTTTAAATAAGTGATAATTCTGTCAAACTAATTGTCAGTATATTTTTTAGTTATTGAACTTAAATATAGATTAAAATTACTCATTTTTGTGTAGAATCGATAAATAATTGAATTTACATTTTTATTTCGTCTATAATTATAAATATTTTGTTAATTTAAATAAAACTAAATTAAGTCAATTTAATTACGAGTATTAAAGCAAAAAAATAAACGTGTGAATGGTCTTATTGTAAGGGTACTTGCCTTGGGGGTTCACAGTAGCAGAATATAGACCCCGGTACAGATATAGGTAAAAAACTGTCAGTGTTTTAGAAAGGTATATTATTAACTTTCTAAAACACTGAAAGTTTTTTCATACATCTGTACTGATACCTATATTCTGTTACTGTAAACCACCCCACGAGCCGCCACTGCAGAAAACCTATACGTGTATCATTAATTTCTATGAAACTAAATGTTTAGTTGAGTTTAGTAACCTAAATGTATTTGAATTTAACAAGTATTAAAAGTAATTTTAAAAAACCGACTTCAAAATCGTACAGATGTCGTCACCACATCTTAACCAACCAAATTTATATGGGACCACCCCTGAGGTACACACTTACTAACAAAAAAAGAATCATAGAAATTGGACAAGGTGGTAAAGAATTGCCGCTAAATATACAATAAAAATCAAGAGTTTGAGGATTTTCTAATGGACTCAATTATTAGATTTTGACCAAATTAATATAGAACCATCCCTGAAGTACCCCTTTTCTAACAAAAAAGAATCATTGAAATCGGACACTGCGCTAAAGAATTATCGCTGAATATACATAAAAAAAATATATTACGACGAGTTGAGAACCTTCTACTTTTTTGAAAAATTTACTTGTAATTTCTAGGAAGGCATTTTATTTTATTATAAAAGTTTAATAAGAACCTATATAGAAAATGTAATGCAATTCGAAAATGATAATAGAATCCTGAGAAACATTGCCTATTTAACCGATTGTGTAGCTTTTATAATAACCGAGATAGCACTACGCATGCTGCACTAATCTGGGACACGGTGTATTTAATAACTGATATGATTAATTACAGTTATCGTCCATTCACTGTAGGGTTGTAATTGACAGTGCTACTCCTGAAGTCGCGCTGCGAAACAGTAACAAAGCCTATACAAAACACACATTAATAAAGAAAAATAAATCCAATCAAACTGAGATTGACTAATTAGATACCTACTATTAAAGTCATGAAACTAAACAAAAATAAAAAACAATTTCTCTTAGTGTAAACATGTTAGAAATATCCTAAAAATTTGTTATATCCAACGGGTTCCGCACTCAAGCTATTTGTTTGTATTGCCTAATTACACCGTAATAAAGACCGAAAACACATTTTCGCGAGAATTAAGTTATTAAGTAGTTAAATGGAGTGCGAACAACCAACATGTAACCGCTCGAGGATGGTCTTAAGACTTACCTTCATCGAGACTGCCATGTCGGCAGTGCATTGATGTCACTTTCACAAACACTGACTCCCACAAATCTTGGGTTTCCTTTATAACTTTCTGTGCGCTTCTTGTTCCTCATACACTGATTGTTATTGTGGATTGTGGGGATGTGACATTGAAAATGTTACATATTTGTTCTGCAATGCAGATCCTCAGGGCGATAGGCGAATTAATTTGATTTGATGAATTGATTATCAAGGACACGATTTTGTGGATCCTTATCATCGGTAAACGTGAGAACATTGACTTGTTTTTATTAAGAGAATCCACTAAATTAATTTGGTTATTTTACATTTATAGATTTATTAACCGACTTCAAAAAAGGAGAATGCTCTCAATTCGTCGAAATATTTTTTTTTGTTATGTATGTTAAGCGATAATTCTTTAATATAGAAAATAAAGTCGAAAAAATAGGAAATTGTATTTTCAGCAAGTGGAATTATTCCATATTATTTATTACTGTGCGAGAATGAATGTATCTAACCAGGGGTGGTTTCTCTATTGGTTTATTTGTACAGTGAATATCCAGTTACATTTCATAAAAACACATTATTTTAGAATAAATTATTAATACAATTTTAATAATTTTATTGTTTTCATACGTGTAAATATGTATTTTTGGGTGAGCCACTACGCTCTGGCTAATTCCGTTTCCGTGACATTCTTTTATAAGTGAGAAGTGTTCTTGAAAGTTTTTTGCTAAAAAGATATGAGACACATCAACAGATTTATTTTTCACTTCAACTGGATGAATCAACAGATGTCGTTGACACTGCCTAGATGGCCGTCTTCGTCAGGATGGTTTTTAGTGATTTTACGATTAAAGAAGATCTTTTGAAGTTTATTCCACTGAAAGGACACACTACTGGACAGGAGTTGTTTTCTCATTTAAAAAATATTATTTCTTCCGAGAAAATTCCAATATCGAAAATGGTAGGCTTGACAACAGATGGCGCTCCAGCTATGGTGGGTTGTGATAAGGATCTGGTGTCGTTATGTCGTAAAGATGAAACTTTTCCGCAATTTCTCTGTTACCACTGCATTATCCATCAGTAAGCATTATGTGGAAATTTCCTGAAACTAAACAACGTTATGAAACTGGTGGTAAAAATTGTGAACAAGATTAGAGCTCAAGCGTTACAAAGAAGATTATTCAAAACCTTGGCTGATGAAGTTGACTGTCAATACGGGGACCTACTCCTTCACTCTGAAGTCCGATGGTTAAGTATAGGACGGGTGCTGAAACGTTTTAATGATGTCCTATCTGGCATAGTTCAATTTTTCAAACAACGCGATGAACCGACTCCGGAACTAGAAAATTCAATCTGGCTTAGAGATTTTGGTTTTCTCGTGGACATTACAGAGAAATTAAACGAACTTAATTTGCAGCTTCAGGGGAGAGACAAAGAACTAGCGGAAATGATTTCAAAAGCATTTATCAAAAAGTTGGAGTTTTGGGAACAAAATTTAATTAACAGCGATGCCAAGCATTTTCCTATTCTTTCAAAAAAAATATCTCAAAATCCATTAGAACCCTATGACAGCAAATATCATGTAGAAATAGTTTCTACCCTAAAGAATAATTTCCAAAATCGTTTTAAGGATTTCAATGAAATGGCTTTAGTAGCGCAGTTTGTTGTTTCACCCTTTATGGAAATTGATATCCAACAGTTTGCAACTTGTGTTATGCAGAACTTTGGCGAAGACATCGCTGCAACAGAAATGGAAGTAATTGAGTTTCAAAATGATTTAGCCTTAAAATCGTTAGTTTCAAGTACCAAATGTATCTGGCCTATTGTAAGTAAAGACAAATATTCAGTTCTATGCCGTGTTGCCTTGAAAGTGAAAGCATTATTCAGTTCAACCTATTTGTGTGAATCTTCTTTTTCCAATATGAAGTTTATTAAGAACAAATATCGCAATCGACTTACAGATGAACATTTGGATAATTGTATTCGATTGGCTGTATCAAATTATACTGCAAACATTAAAAAAATTATCGATGAGTCTGACTGTCAACCTTCTCATTGAACGTGCTTTTTTATTTTTTAATGTTTATGTTCATGATAGTGCGTTACTTTTTTGTTGTTATTATTAACTATTTTTAAATCTTACGTGACATGCCATTGTAGCTGGATAAAAGTTTGTGTTTATTTTTCAAACACCTTCGTTTGGTAGGTAGGAATGTAGCTATGAACAAGTATGTACTAGTAATATTAGTTATTTTGTTATTAGTTTATTATTAGTACCTATGTATTATGTATTACCAGTTAAATAGTAAAATAAATACATATAATGATAAATTAACTGTGGATTATTTCATTTACGTTGCGTTACGTGGCTTCCGTGTGGGTAGCTCGCTGTTTATTCCAAGATTAACACAGTAGCTCAATACATTGAGAGGTTGGCGACCACTGATATAGGGTAATATATCTACTTAATTAAGTCAAATCATATGTAATAGTTTTTTAAAAAGCATGAGAAGGCACTTTAGGCCTTAGAGACAGGGCTAGGAAACTGATTTGAGACGTTTCCGCCAGCAGGTCTGGACTGGTGCCAATACGACATATTGCTTACATTTTTTTACTTGCTGTTTTGTAGCAGCTCGTTAAAAAAACAATCTACCAATATTATAAAAACTTTGGAAAATAGTCAAAAAATAAAAATATAAACACTTCTAAATATTAATAAAATATTAGATTACTCACGTAAATTTTGTGAATTGACATCAAATACATTTTTCATATGTCAGTCAAACAGTTCGGAGCGCTTTTATTATAAATAAAGTATTAAAACATATGCAAATATTATGTATGTAACTAAAATGTAATATACAGGCTACTCAATCTATATCCTTATTACATGAAATTAATAAGCAATTTTATTTCAATCCTAACTTATTATAACGAGACTTTTTCGTTGTAGAGGCGTTATCGTTCGAATATCACAACATTCTGTATTACAGTTTAGTGTTCAAGTTATACAAATTATTTGCCTTTTATCTTCTATATTAATTTATATCTAACAGGTACCTAATATTTGAAAAACCTCTTTACACGCAGTATGTCAAAAATAATTACGCGATTTTTTTATTTCCTGTTTCAAAAAATATTTTTTTTTTATAAATATATCTGTTAAACAAATACGTTATTTATAAATATAGATTTTCTAAAAAATGATAATAATCTTCGTGATATACACGTAAGTAATGTTATACAAATCTTAGGAAATACTATATGTTTAATCTTCACATCACAACTTAGCACATCCTCTCATTAACTTCACTTTCTCTATCTAGCGTATCTAAGAGATAAAATAACTAGATACATATACCTATGTGTGAGCATTCAACATTTTATCTTAGATGTCACTCGTCATTTGTTAACAATTTACGGTTTCTTTTTTAGATAGATAGAATTGATATAAAAAATTGAAATAAATTACAATAATTTGTTAGGTAAAATTAAAAAAATATATATATAATAATAATTATATTAATATATGTAAAACATATTTATGCAAATGGTAATTCATAAAGTTGATATTATCTACACTGACTTTTCTAAAGCATTTGATAAGATTGATCATGGCCTACTTTTACATAAGCTTAACTTATTCGGAATAGATGACAGGTTAATTGCTGTATTTAAATCTTATCTTTATGAACGCACTCAATACGTTCAAACTTTAGGATATAAATCTCAACCTTTTCTTCAAACTTCCGGTGTCCCACAGGGGTCTATATTGGGTCCTTTACTTTTTAATATTTTTATAAATGACATCACCGAAGATGTTGATATTGATAAAGATATATATGCTGATGATATTAAACTATTCTGTGAGATAAACTCTGCCAATGACTGCTTGAACCTCCAACGAAACCTTAATCATGTTAATAATTGGTGTATCAGAAATAAGCTCCCTATGAATCCAAGTAAATGTAACGTAATGTCTTTCTGTCGGAAAGAATCAACTATCCAATTTAATTACAATTTAAGTAATATTATCCTCGACAGACCAGATATCCTAAAAGATCTAGGTGTTTATTTTGATCCAAAGTTATCTTTTATTCCTTATATACAAAAAACAATCTCTTCAGCATATCGGTCGCTGGGTTTTATTCTTAGAAATGCGAAATGTTTTAATAATATTAATACATTGAATCTTTTGTTTTCGGCTTTTGTAAGATCGACATAGAAGGGGGCACAATAGATCTTTTAGGTCGCAGTGTATTAACACCCCATTATCAACATAACATAACATAAGATCGCAACTAGAATATGCTTGTGTTATTTGGAGCCCGAATTATAATATTCATATTTCCGCTTTGGAACGAGTGCAAAGAAAATACTTTAAGTCGGCTTCTTATATCTTGGACGGTCTTTATCCCGCTAGAGGCACACCTCAAGAACACTTTTATATTCGTTTTGATAGCTGTAGTTTAATTCGTCGTCGGTCAATACATTCAATTACGTTTTTATATAAAATTGTTAATTATATTTTTAAATGTGATAATATTGTATCGTCACTAAATTTCAGAGTTCCTAGACCAAATTCTAGAACCAACAGTCTTTTTTATGAATTACCACATAAGACAAATATTTACAAATATTCTCCGTTGAATCAGCTCATCATTGACTACTCTTCAATTGAACCTAGTATTGATATTTTTTGCACAAAAGCTGCTCAAATTAAAAACACCATTCTACGGGGTAATTTGTAGGAAGGACGGATGTCCAGAATTTGGTCAATAATTTCATATGTACCCATGTGTGTAATCTTAGAACATACCTGCATATTAGTGCTTGCTTTTTTTCCCTAAAGGGTTTTTTTTCCAGTGAGCATTCATATATAGCTTAACAGATATACTGTTTTGTATTATTATTTTTTTTTTGTTTCTGTATTTTGCTGTGTTTGTCTTTATCCAGGCACTGACAATATAGTACAAGTTGTTTCAGTTAAAACTGCAAATGGACTTTACAAACGTACATATACAATTTATTAATTTGTCAAAATAAACATCAAATACAAAAAATTATATATTTTTCCCTTTTTCAATATACAGTCCATTCAAAACTACAATTTAGGTTGAAACACATTCATACACCAGGAAAACATCCGAACGAAGTTTCATCATATGGACTAATATCTCTATTGCCT